TCAACTACGTATATCTTTCGTATAAAATATATTTTTAACATCACTGAATGTGCTCAGTTTCATAATAATTACTGGATTACGTGGAATCCAATGATTATGAGGCGTGTTATAGTCATCGAGTTGAAATCATCTATGTGTAGTCAACACACATGTCATGCACAAGTGCAACATAATAAAATGGAACCGACGCATTTCTGGTCATCTCACATAAGAGTGATTGGAGAAAGATATCCAAGAGGAACACTTTAATATCACATTAAAAATATAAAACATATAAGATTTATTTTTGAAGACGGCGGCCTTACCGCTAAAACGCGATTCCTTCTAGACAACAATAAAGATGGAGATTATACTAAATAATTAATAATAAGGGTAACACTAGAGTCATAATAAGTTTATACGCAATATAATTGTGTAACGTTAGAATTATTTTGATTAACTCGTTTGTATTAAGCTGAGCTAAGGTACTTAGATTTTCGAGCTTCAGCCATTGTAGTTAAATAATGGTTCTTGAATACTGTCTGTAGTTTACGCGAGTAGTACACGATTAAAGAAATCACTTTGGGCAACGAGTTTAAAACGCGATATATCGGTTAGTTAAACTTGTATGAAAATTATTATTTTTTTAATCGTGTACTACTCACGTAAACTACAGACAGCGTTTATTTACAGTAACTTAAAATTGATTTCAGGTGGTTCCTGATGGTTCGTTATTACGTGTTGATGACGTGATAAGACGTTGCACGTTCCTGAACTCAGCGGAAGACTTTTTGCGCGATTTCTTCCTCGATAGCAGCAGTGAAGCTAGAAATTTGTATTATAACATATTTTAACCTTCACTTTAAACTAACTAATTATTACCATATTGTATTATTTGCATGCATACAACTTTCCTGTACTCTAAATAATGAATGACAGCCACTGTAGGTAAATGTTTAAATATGCCTAGCCTTGAAAAAGTGTTGGTTCGAATACCGGGTGAACAATGAATTGTTTCGGTCAAAGGAATCTTATCCACTACTTGCCTATAACAGAACCTATCAGTGCAACGGATATAGAAATATGTTCGTTCCATGCTCCACGGGAGAAACAATATATCGTATTATAGGTATATTATTAACCAAGTACACTTTACTTGTACAAGAACAATACTACTTTTTCGTGTATGAAATTGGTCGAATATTACTTACTGTATATTCAGTCTTTTAAATAAAGCACTTTAACGGTTTAAAACGCAATATATTAGTTAAACTTATTTGAAAATGATTTTTAACTTCAGCCCGACGTTTCGGATGCTTTGCAGCAGCCGTGGTCACGGGGAATAAGTTTAACTAATATATCGCGTTTTAAACCGTTAAAGTGTTTTATTTAAATGTGTACTACTCGCGTAAACTATAGACAGTATTCAGTCTTGTCTTCACTTGAGACTATATATTAAATATCAAAATATAATAAAGAGTTATATTGCAAATACTTGTTATTTCATATGGATTTCAGAATATCCAAAGCCCAGGTCGATTGTGCGTCTAGTTTAGATATCCATGCCAACCCCATTGTCCAGTACCTATCGATCCCCCTGATTGTGTGACTCCTCTATCTTGACGATAAAAGTGGCGGCGAGTTTCTTGCCAGTTCTTCTCGTTCGTTCTACGCTCTTGATTTAAGAACTGGTTGTAAATGTAAATTTAGAGTCTTTAGTTTTTAACTGATGCGACGTTTATACGTGTACCTAGTTGCGAATGAATGTTTTCGACTTTGGCTTCATAAAAAAAATATTGATTAAAGTCAATATTGTCTTTCAAGAGCAATCCATGCGATGTGAATTGTACCCAACGGTTTCTACTCGTGCAAGCACTTATTGGTTTTATTTTAATAACGGTAATGTTATTGATATTAACTTGAGCATCTTGCACGAAATACATTACTCGACTAGCTGTTACCCACGACGTCGTCCGTGTCCCGACGTTCTTGCAAATTATATTAAAAGTACGACATATACTGTCGCGGATAGTCTTTTGATTAATTAAGGAATTAATTTTTTGCCTTCTTGAACGCACCAGAAGCTTTTATAGTTAAAAAGTTTTCTTAGATTTGCTCATTCAAACAAATAAACACTTAAGCTTAATAATATAAATATAGGAGTACGACTTCACCCGTTTTCACTCGTGGAGCATGGGGCGAACATTTTTTTGTGTCCGTGTTTAATTTATAATAAACAGTTGATCAGACTTCAATGATTCGAACTTAGGACCTCTCGCGTTTAACGCAATGCTAGGCAACCATTTAACTATGTAGTAGTCAGAAAATGATCTTTCCGAAAAGAAAGGGCTCGTTCGTGTAAACATTTGTAGCTGCTGTAAAGCATCTGAAACAAGTTCGAGTTTTTAACCGTTAAAACTGTTTTATTTATTGTTTACCACGAGTAAAGTATTATTTGACAATATAGCAATTAAAACAGTACAATTGTGTATGTAGTTCTAAAGTGCTTATAAATAATATGCACTAGCAACTTTAACAAATCCGTTCCTCTGAACGGTGGTTCGTGATCCGGACGGATTTCTATTTAACATCCAGATTTCTAGGCGTCCAACATCTTTCAGAAAAAACATACATTGTTTTGGCACAAGTTTGATCTGGGCGGAAATCGAGTGCACGATACATGGCTACTATTAGACCAACGACTCCTTACAACTTTTTAAGTTCGAAAAATTATGCCTTGATTGCAGAGAAAACGACGCATCAGGATCATGTTAAGCACTAAACCAACGACGCAGTTAGTCTATATAATAATATATTACTAATACTTACACGAGTTAATATTGTTTATGTAAATATATTAGTTTATTGACCCTGATTGCAACACTGTAACTATGAAAATATTGCATAAATTTTGAACCCGAGTTCAAATGTTACAAAACATGTTGTAACTTTATATATTTATTATTATATATATAATAATTTAATTTAATTAAGCACTAGTTTTATATTTTTATTTATAACAATATATAACGGTGAAGAGTTTGTTTGTTTGTTTGGACGCGCTAATATCAGCAACTATGGGTTCGAGTTGAAAAAATATTTTTGTGTTAGTTAGAACATTTATCGAGGAAGGCTATCCTACTAATATTATAAACGTGTTTGTATTTGATGGATGTTTGTTACTCTTTCACGCAAGAACTACTGAATGGATTTCAATTAAACTTTCCAATAATATAGCTTCATCAGAATAACAAATAGGCTACAATTTCTAAAGATAATGTGTGAGCTGTCAAAAATATGACATGAAGTGTCAAGTAACTAGGAAAAGCATCTACCTTTCCGCGAGCTATTCTGGTATGCGCTGCCATAAACGTTAGTTACACATAATTATGTAATGTATGATATGATAGACAACATTTAGTTTAAATGCGCGATACTACGTAATCCTAATCTTGTGTAGACGAAGTCGCGGGCACCAGCTAGTAGGCTATAAAACATTGCCTTGTGACTAATAGAAGCGAAGATACAGCGGGAAATGTGAAGAAAACGGGGGAAAATTTTCATCTTTGTGGGTTGGCGTACGCTGCGAAAACGATTCAAGATAACTAAAAAAATATGTATGAAAAAATGATCCCTCTTTAAATGATTTAAAAAAAATTCCACGACGCTATATGTCTATCTTTTAAGATTAACTCGCAAGAACCACGGGAAGGAACGCTCGACATCGTGGCGAACAACTTAAGTTAATAAAGATGACGAGGTTTGCAAAAACTAATTTGGATGCCCAAAAGAACGATTTTCGCGGAAGAAGTCGCTGGCACAGCTAGTATACTATATTTTTCTAAATTCACTTATAACTGGGAACATCCTAGCCTAGCACACGAGGCCCAAAGTTTGAATTACATGCAATAAATATATATACTTTCTATTAGATAAGAGTTCTTTAATTCTCCTAAAAGTGGAAACATATTAGCACATATTGTGATCCAAAGTTCGAAGACCAGGGTTTCAATGGCAACGATATTAACAACTTCTTTAAAATAAAATCGACCAGTTTTATTATTCGACACAAAAATGTGTCGCATAATAAAACGGAATTTTACTTTTATAAGCATTTTTTTTTTATATTTAAAGCGGTTAAGTTACTTTAAGTTATTAATATTGTCTATAGTTTACACGAGTTATAAAAAATGAACGGTTTAAAACACCAAATATATTACTTAACTCTTTGAGATTACGGTTGCTTCGTAGTCATGACTCCTCGTGACCGTAGTTTATAACAAGTATATTTCCTGTTTAAAACAGTTAGAATTTTTTATTGAAATTCGTACATGTAATCGTATATGTGCAATTACTTGATATAGATCGAAGGATCTAAGAAAGATAAAAATATTTTTCCCACCAATTAAGCGAGTTTATTTATTTTGGTAATAAGGTGGATAAAAACACACAAAAACTCGCTGTTACTGACAGCGGTCCTAAATAAGACATCAGCGAGAAGAACTCACAAAAAATCTACTAAAACTCAATGACACGTGTTTTTCATATTTATGTTAGAATTTTAGTGTCTAGATGCGTCGCAAAAAGTCTACTAAAAACCAAGAGGGAGTGAATTCTAGTAAAATATCTACTGATGCATAGTTACTATATACTGTAAACAACGATTTATCGTTGAATACACAATTATGTACTGTAAATTAAGTAAATTTTAAATAAAATACTTTAACGGTTTAAAACGTGATATATATTAGTTAAACTCCTCTCCGTGTCCAAGGCTCCTGCAAAGCACCCGAACGTAGGGCCGTAGGTAAAATTATTTTAAAATAACTAATATGTATCGCGTTTTAAGCAGTTAAAGTGTTATATTTAAATGTGCACTACTCGCAACTACAGATAGTATATAGATAAAATATATTTCTTACACTTTTTCACGACTCCGATAATTAGAAAAGTGTCAATCAATTCTTTCAGGGCGTCTTAAGTGAATGAAGATAAGTAGCAATTGTAAATGGCGCCAAAAGATGTATAAATTCATCCAAGTTACAATCCTCACACCCAATTCAATTGTCGTTCAAATATCGTCCCTATCACCAAGCGATAAGGCTGAGGTATAGCGTTAATTATTCTAACAGAAGCAACAACTTAGGACCATGTGTCTGTAGTTTTTTCGCTATCCCGGTCGCTCCTGTTATTCCCGGTCGAAATTCCAATCAGTGCGGTTGTTTTAACCCTTACATGAAGATATTGTTATCCCGGTTAAGTTTAGAAAAATTCGCGAGTTATTTTAGGTGAGTATTTTTGAATCTAAACTAGACACTTTACTTTTATAATTCTAGTTTTTCACTTGTGCAAAATTAAACATTTTTAAGACGTGCTTTGATTTTTTACGTTTGATTTTTGAATATTTTTCACACGTTTGCACATCACGATTATATAAAATAAAATTCTATTTAGATTAAATAAAAATTACGACACAGGCGGGATTTGAACCGGCATTGACAGCGTTATGTGCTGCTAAATGAGCTACCATTGCGCGAAAGGTGAATGTATCATTAAGTTAAAAAAAAATCGACGATGATGTGTAGGACACCGTAGCTCAATTGGTTAGAGTAGAACAGTATGGATCTGTGAATCCCGGTTCAAGTCCCGTTTCAAGAGAAGAATATTATAAACATAATGGTGTTCGTAGCTTCGAGTCCCGCTGAGATTATTAATATTTTCAATATTAAATGAATTAAAGCGATAATTAATTGTTTTATATGCCACCTAATTGTATTGCCAATAAAGCCAGCAAGGACCGTTCTTTGATTTCATTGTCCTCAAATACTGTCTATAGTTTACGCGAGTAGTACACATTTAAATAAAACACTTTTACGGTTTAAAACGCTATATATTAGTTAAACTTATTTGAAAATTATTTTTAACTTCGGCTTAAATTTTTAAATTTAAATTAATTGTCCTTTTATATATTTTTTTTATGTTATCTAATAAAAAAGTTTTTTATTAAAAGTGTATAATTACTTCAAATAGAAAATATCGGATAAAATGCTTTAAGTTTTTTGGTTCGGATTTAATTATTTTATTACCTCTTTGCTATTAAGAAACGATTTGAATGGAATAATATTTTCGAAAGAATTTCACAAACAAAATACCCAATGAAACTTCCGCCGTCACGTAAAAGCTAGCTGAGCTGACCTCTTGCGAAATAATAATTCTATTAATTAATTTTATAATTTGCAGATGTGCAAGCCACGCGAGATGAGGCTCAGAGAAAGTTTATTTTTATAATAATAGCAAAACCATATGCGCAAAACCGACACCAACATATGTCAATAATACCTCTACAGCAGCTACTGAACTTTATAGGTAAATGAACTTACAGCTATGGCCGACTATGACATCATACTACCTTACGACGATGAACAACTGTTCCAAGAAAAAAACGACGTCACAGATCTACACGCGTACTACATGTCGCAATTCAATCTAGAATTGGAAAACGGAAAGAGTAAAAAGAATGATAATTTCAAATTTGGTACCGAAGAAAGCTTCGACTTTGAAGTGCTGGACAGTTGGACAGCTGCGGAAAATAAGACTGATTTTGAAATCTTCGATGACGGTATTGAGAACAACATCAACGATCAAAATATGAAGGAAGTTCTACTAGACTTAGATAGCATTGAATTCGACGATAACAGCTTCAAGTCAGACTCCGGAGAGGAGAAAGCAAAGTCAGCGTATGAAGTTAATAATGAATATATAGACGACGAATCTCTCATTGATGAATTATGTCGAGAGGACAATGAAGCGAGTACACCACCAGAAGCAAACAGAGAAGATTCCTTTAATATGATGACAACAGAAACTCTACCATCAATGGAGGCAGCATTTTCAAAACGGTTCTGCAATTTTGACAGCGAAGTGCATATGCAAGAAAGTTACGATAATCAAGCACATAATACACAAGTTATAAGTAGTGTTGAGCATTTCAGTTATCCAAATAACATATTGCATAATTTGGATATGGAAAGACATTACATTCTTCCGGACACACCGACTAGTTGTACAGAATTTACATTCGATAAAAACGAAAGAAAAGTATCTATATCGGAATCAGTTGAAAGTTCAAGTTATTACGATGGTAATTCAGAGACATTTGATGAAGACGAGCTTTTTATAAACTTAGATGATTTCGGATTGAGCTTAGAGAGAGATGATGTTTGTGCTGCCGGTTTTATGGAAAAGACGGCGGACAAATCGGAGTCTCAAGGTAACTATAATTTTATACAAAGTTAACAAATTTCAAAACCACTCAGTGGTTACCATTGTAATAGCAGTAGGTCTTGGGTTCGAATCCCGAGGTATGTAATAAACACTCTCCAGCTATTAAAGTTTATTTAATTGTTTCCAATTGTTGTCATCGAATTTTTTCAAAACATTTATGCGTGAATCCTTTTTACGGTACTCTAAAACACCAGGACCATAATATAACAATCGATGGACACAAAATTGAGTCTTTCATATGACCTCATGGCGACAGTTTATTTAACGAAAAGCATGGGTTGCCAGACGTAAATATTTAAATTGTTAATGACGAATTATCTTATCAGGGATTTGTAGTGCGTCTGTAAATCATTGAATTTGTTTATGTTATAGGCGAAAGGAATTGTTTGTGGGAAAAATGCTACGAAAGTTATCCCAACCAGAACATGCTGGTGGAACACATTGAACGGGCTCACGTCAATACTTATAAAGGTAATCAGCTTATATAAGACTTAACGGTTTAAAACGCAGATATAATCTTGCTATTATGATTAGTTAATTAACTACGGCTCCACGTTACGAATGCTTTGCAGCCGTGGTCATGGGGGAGTTAATCGTAACTTCGTACTGAATAAATGAATAATGATTAAATGTTTCGCGTTTTAAACAGTTAAAAGTGTTTTATTTGATTATAAACTTGCGTAAAATACAGACAATAATTAACGTTATATATTTTTTTCAGGAGATGAATTCAGTTGTCTGTGGAAGGACTGCGCAAGATCACGTCGTCCTTTCAACGCGAGGTACAAACTTCTCATACACATGCGCGTACATTCAGGACACAAACCAAACCGATGTCACGTAAGTATCTATGTAACGATAAAAAAGACCCACCACACCACTTCCATAGCTAAATGGTAAAATGTGTAGATACCCTACACATGCAACACGATAAAAAAACGACAATAAATTGTCTAGCACAGCACAGAAGTCTGACTAATTACTTGCCTGTAAAAAATTACCTTTATTTAAATAAAATACTTTATCCGGTTTAAAACTCGCAATATATTAATTAACTTATTTTAAAATTTATTTAAACTAAGGCCCGAAGTTTCGGATACGTTGCAGCAGTCATGGTCACGGGGGAACGTCGACGAAACATCGAGTAGTTTAAAAAATATATTTCGTGTTTTAAACCGTTAATTGTTTTATTTAAATGTGTTTATTTAAATTACTACATAGAATAACAACTAGTTAATGTGTTTACGAATAAGATTAGAATATTAACAGTATTTAAAAATAAAATAATTTATAGATTTGGCTTTGGCATTCAGAAATCCACAGACTAAAACTGACACGTGACAAAATTTCACGGCTTTTTCATCTGTCATCACGTTCCCACCACCCATTTAATATCCAGATTTCCAGAAAAAAGAAATACTAAATAACAAACAAAATAAAAATAAATTATTAATTTGGTATTAGTAAATTATTTTTTGTTATAAAAAAATATTTTCATAACTTTTTTTTTCAGCACCCAGGCTGTGGCAAAGCCTTCTCTCGTCTCGAGAACCTGAAAATCCACGTCAGGTCTCATACCGGGGAGAGGCCGTACGCCTGCCCCGCACCACACTGCAGGAAAGCCTTCTCCAATTCTTCAGATCGAGCCAAGCATCAGCGGACTCACTTCAATGCAGTAAGTTTTTAAATAACATGACTATGTTTAAAGGCTTTTAACATCCGACGTCTCCGTGATTCCCCATGAACACGACCGTGAAATTAGATTACCTTATAATTCGCGTCTTAAACCTTTCAGTGTTTTTTTTTATAAAACATGGTTCCGTAAACACTGAAATATTATGAATCACGTAAAATTTAAAATGGCCACAATGTACAATACAGTGAAACAAGATGCGATGTCAACATATTTTAGTTTTGGATATTCGGAAATCCACAGACTCAAATCGAAACACGATGAAACTTCACGGCTTTTTAATGTGTGGACGCAATTTCGGTTTTCCTACCAACCATTTATCCAGATTTCCAGACGAAGTCCAACATGCTTCAGAAGAATTATAAAGTGATTAGAATAATGTTAGACCCGGTGGGAATCGAACGACCCGTTGATTATTAGCAGTACATTGCTCAAAAGAATGTTTTTTATAAAACTCCAAATTTCAGCGACCGTATGCCTGTGGGGCTCTTGGCTGCGGGAAACGCTACACCGATCCATCATCACTGCGGAAGCACGTGAAAACCCACCCCCACATACCTGCCCCAAGGACCTGCATACCACCAACGAAGCCCATCAGACGGACGGAAGAACAACTCGTCCCTAGTTCGCCTGCGAAACTAGCGACCCTAAGATGTATAAGAGACAAGTTAACCGTTCCTAGATTACAGAAAATGTAAGGCTTGTCTAGATAAAGATTTTGACAAGAAAACTAACACTAGCTGTTCCGTTATTTTGTTGTTTGAAAGATTAATATTATTATTTTGATACAATAATAACAAGAATAAAGGCAATAATGCATTAAATTCGACCAAATTAAATTACTATAAATAAGGTTCTTGCGAGTTAATCTTAAAATATACTGTCGCGGACATTTTTTAGATCATTTAAAGAGAAAACATTACTTGCTCAATGAAAAGGCTGTATAAAACAAATATTAACAGTTTGAAAAGCGTATTAAATAAGTAAATCTTATTTGCGATACGGATGCTTTACAGCAGCCGTCGTCACGAGGGGACTCAAGACTGTAAATAAATATTGCTCAAGTTAAGTTTAGACAAAAAGCTGTGTTCAAAACACACTCATTGTAATTTAGTAATGTTGGATGTATCTTAAGTGTAAGCTAAGTAACTTTTATTTTTATAAGTGACAAACTTCACTGTCTAACGAGGTGCAGTCTTCCAGTTAATTTAAATTTAAAATTCATTGTTAAGTTTCTTAATCTAATCTACAATACTAGCGTAAATACTAGATCTCGCTGTAGTTTACATACTTTTCCATGTACACCTATATTTGCTCAACTTTTTAAATAGTAAGATAAGTTTTAACACGTCGCTCTAGTGGTAAGAAGGTGGGATCGTTCCTCAGTTGTATAGCTGTGTACATTTTGCTAAGTACTATGCGATGGAGGTGGTAAATTTAGCAACCTAGTGGCTCTGAATCTCAGCTGTGGGAATTGTTAATGGATCATTGAAGTATTAGAATATAATTGACCGGAATAATGGCAACTTATTTTAATGTACAGTAAAAAAAATGAATTCTCACTTATAGTTTTAATTGTATGTATATTTATATGTGGACTTTCCTAAACGTAAATCTTGTATGTCGAAACTTTGCGATCTTCCAAAGATATTTTTTTTTTAATTTTAAGCGAGGGTAGTTTTAAGAAAAAGCAAATGTACAAATGATGCTTTCCAATGAATCTCTTTTAGCATTTTAATAATATTCCCAATAAGATCTCTTGTTTGCTCACCGATGTTTTGTAAGGATTGAAAGACAGATACTGTCTGTGTAAATAAATTATTTTTCTTGTATTTCTGTTTAATTCGCTTCTATTGTCGTTAAAATTAGTAGTGGGTAATTGAACAAAATCTGGGAGTTATCCTGGAACAATACATTTTCAGTGATTATAGATAATAGATAAATATATAAGTGCCTTATAAATATAGTATTTTTTTATTATCTTATAAATATAGTAACTTAAAGACACACTTATTATATATGAAAGGTAAAGTGCTTATGTTACAGCAACATCGTTTAATAAAAATTATAAAATTGGAATATTCATTTTCGTTGCTCTAATCTACAAACGTATGAAAACTGACCAACAGGTCGGGAGTTCTACACGGTTCTAACATGAATATAAATAATCCGTGTTCTAGTCTGTGGATTTCGTAAAGCCAAAATAGGTCGACGCGTATTATACTCCCTCTTTTTTATCACCAAAAACAAAATATTTCAGATTGATTTGAAGTAGTTGTTAATAAATCAAATCTACTTTGCCTAAATCTCACAACATCTGTAGTTTATATGCTAGACTGTTTGATAAACATTTATTTGAACTTCCCTACTTTTTCGTCTATTGATCGTATTATTAAATATCTGTAGTTTACGCGAGTATTAGAAATTTGAATGAAACACATCAACGGTTTAAAACCGCGAAATGTATTAGTAGAACTTCTTTGAAAATTACTTTAACTACGGCCCGATGTTTCAGATGCTTTGCAGGAAAGCATCCGAATATTTCGCGTTTTAAAACATTCAAGTGTTTTATTTAAATCTTATTATTGCAAAATCATTTAACGCAATTAATATGCAGATATCGGCTTCTTGTCACAATGTTAGATCTCTTCGAATACATTGTTGCTATCGATCGAGACCTAATCTAAGGTCAAAAATGCACGTGTTTTCGTTTAGTATATAAGGTGTTGGTGTCGTCTGGACTAGGAAGTGTGCATCTATCACTCCGAGAAAGATCTAGGCCGAAGGATTCGCTACGATGAAGCTTTTGGTCCTAGCGGCCTTTGTTGGTAAGTTTTTACAGTTTTTATAGTAATTGTTAATAATTTGCCCTTTATAATTGAAATATGTTCCAAAAAGCTACTAAAAATCATAAACTGGCAGAACGAAATTGAAGAGTTTAAAAGCAGTTTTTAATGATTAAATAACATTTATAACCTTTTTAAAAAATCCTTTATAAAGAAATCTTCTTTAACAAGCACATCAATTTACGACTCAAATATCAGCGATGTATGAGGGTTTCTGAATTCTAAACTTCACTTTTATATACATAATGACAGCATAACAATTACAGCAATCAAAAGGTTAGGCTATGATTCTTCGTTTCTCTAAACCATTTAAATAAAAAAACCCTTTAACGGTTTAAAACGCGATATATTAGTTAAACTTATGTGATAAAGATATACAATTCTTATAGGTAGTGTTTTGGAGTTTGGAGTTTGCAATATTGATATAATAGAAAAAAATGAATAAGTTCCTAAAGGCGTTGGATGCATTTATCTACAATTTTTATTTTTTTAAATAAAAATCCTGCTAAAGAATTTATCAAGTACGACTCATATCATAATTTTACCTCCCCCTGTAAATGCACATGACATCTTAAATACCTCTATGTTTTAATTAAACTACGTATTTGTTTCTAAGCAAAAAAATATTATAGGTAGTATTTTTAGGTACATAGTCGTTATAAAAATAAGGGTACTAAAAAAAAGACAGACTTAATGCATTGTATTTATTTTGGTCATCATTATTCATGCATAATTAAAATTCTGTTTCCAGTGGCCGTGTCATCGGGCCGTCTAGTGAGTGAATCCAATACAGACCAACCGCAAGGGCCCTGGCAAGTCGGTAAGGTATACAAATACGATGTCGACTCCCACACACTGGCCTACCTTCCTGACAGCGCAAAGACCGGAAGCGCCTACCGGGCCCGCTTCACGATTCGCGCCAGGGCACCTGGAAAACTAGAAGCGAGGCTTGAGAAACCAGAACATGCTTTGGTGCACCAAGAACTGAGGCAGCACGAGCCGATGCAAGAGGAACTCAACTTCCAGCCTGTCTTAAACCTCGACAAACCGTTCGAGATCAGTATAGACGGCGGAAGAATTGTCTCCCTTACGCTACCATTGGGCTTGTCTCTCGCTAATGAGAATTTGCTGAAGGGTCTCATTGGTTCTCTCCAAATTGATTTGTCGACGTACAGAAACATCCATACAGATCATGACACCTACGACAATGATATCAAACAAGGTCTGTTCAGGAAAATGGAGACAGACGTAACGGGTGACTGTGAAACATTATACTCCGTATCTCCTGTGGCTTCTGAATGGAGGCGTGACTTACCTATGTTTGCGAACGTAGAAGACCCTATTGAAATCACTAAGAGCAAGAGCTACGGCCACTGTCACCACAGAGTCGACTATCACTTTGGAGTTCCCGAAGGAGCAGAATGGACCGGCACTGCACACTCCACAAAGGAAGAACAGCTTATCAAGAGGTCAACTGTCTCACGTTTCCTAGTGGGCAAAAATGGACCTATTTACAGGGCAGAAACAACCAGTACCGTAAATGTTAGCCCACTCATGTATGGGAAGCAACAAGCTGAAGTGCACAGTAAGATAACTGTGCAATTAGTCAGTTTCGAAGATGACAACCAGCCCGAATGGGAGAAACCTGAAGGTGGTCGCGAAATTCAAAACCTCCTATATTCCTTAACGCCTAAACAAGTAACCATTGATGACTCATCATCATCAACCGAATCGCAAGAAAGTCAGGAATCTCGCGGAGAAAAATCACGTCCACCGCGTTCCCTCAAGCCTAAACGGATTTTAGCTATCAACAAGTACATTATCGACAAACAAAGCGAAGAAGACATAAACTCAAAGAGCTCTTCTAGTTCAAGTGACTCACGGTCAGCTTTTGTAAACGATGACGTACCAAATGTCAACGAACCTGCGTATGCAGCTCTGTACATGAACCCCCAGCCTCGCGGAGACAAAAAACAAAATCCAATGAATGCACAGAAGCTGGTACAAGAAATGGCACAACAATTGCAAAACCCCAATAACATGCCTAAAGCTGACTTCTTGTCCAAGTTCAACGTACTCGTTCGTATCGTTGCTTCCATGAGCTATGGCCAGCTGACCCAAACGAGTCGCAGTATTGAAATCGGAAAAAACCACGCCGATGTAATGAAAGCAGATATGTGGAGGATATACCGCGACGCAGTTACACAAGCCGGTACCCTGCCCAGCTTCCAGCTGATTAGATCTTGGATTCAAGAACAGAAAATTGGAGGAGAAGAAGCCGCTGAGGTTGTCGCCGTGTTGCCGAGGTCACTGCGTTACCCCACGAAGGAAACAATGACACAATTCTTTGATTTGGCTTTGAGCCCCGAGGTCAGAGAAGAGAAGTATTTAAATACATCGGCGTTGATTGCAGCCTGTAAATTCATTAACATGGGACAAGTCGACAACAGAACAGTTCACCGCCTTTACCCAACACATATGTACGGACGGCTCTCCGACCGTCATGATAGTTTTGTACTAGACGATGTTCTACCACGACTAGAATCCCAGTTGCAGATGGCCGTTGAACAACAAGACAGCCACAAATCCCAAGTTTATATTAGGGCTATTGGTACTTTAGGCCACCGCGAAACCCTAAGAGTATTCGCACCGTATTTAGAGGGTAAAATACCAGTTTCTACATACCTAAGGACCCAAATAATTGACTCTCTGAGGACTTTGGCAAAGCAAAGGGATAGATATGTTCGGTCTGTTCTGTACAGTATACTTCGTAATACAGCTGAACCTAACGAAGTCAGAGTTGCAGCTATTCTAAACATCTTCATGACACATCCCACTGGAACTATGTGGCAATATATGGCTGAAATGACAAAGACCGATCCCAGCATAGAAGTCCGTGCAGCAATCAAATCTGGCATAGAATATGCAGCAGAACTTCAACACCCCAGATACTTTGAACTGTAAGTAATTTACTACCTATGGACAAAATTAGTTTTCACAATTCTTTCCATCTTTATATTATAACCGTTCGTGCAAGTTAATCTTTAAAGATAGCCTTATATTGTCGCAGATTTTTTTTTTACATTATTGAAAGAGAAATTATGTGTATACATATTTTTTGGGTATCTTGAACCGTTTTCGCAGCGTTTCCGTTGCGTAACGGAAACCCACAAGGATGAATGATTTTTCCCGTTTTTTTCCACATTTCCCGGTGTTTCTCCGCTCCTATTAGTCGCATCGCGATATGTTATTGCCTTCTTCGACAAATGTTCTAAGACAAAAAAAAATCAATTCAAACTAGTACCTAGTTCCTGAGATTAGCGCATTCAAACAAACAAACTCTTCAGCTTTATATATTAGTATAGATACAATTTATATAATCGATATTTTTATATTCTTTAAAACATAATACAGAATTTTATACCATATAATTAATTTAAAGCGACTATAAAATTTAAATCAACTACAAACAAACTTAACCTATATTAAAGAACGATACCTTACTTACAAAGTGTTAGTAAGGCAGTTGTAGTTTTAGTCAGTTAGAGATTTATTGAAATTTCAGGGTTAATATTTTGAAATAAATATTTCAGTTCTAGATCTGCTCAGGCAGTACGAGGAATGCTTTCTGAGGAGGAATTTGGCAAACAGCATTCTATCAAAGCAATGATGTCTCACGACAGAGATGACGATGAAGTTGGTGTTTTGGGTGTCTGGTCAAACATTGGTGCTGAGGACAGTTTGATTCCAAAGTCTTGGAGATATTCATTGCAAAACACGGTCAGCGGCTGGAAGGAAGAATCTACTGTACGTAAAAAATATGCTTAGTTGGTTGTTTAATCTTGACTTAAATCATTATTTAAATTAAAGTTATCTTTAAACATTTTTAACGGTTTGAAACGCGCACTTTAATTCATAATTAAATTTTAACTAGAACCGGTTATTTCGTAGGAAACTGTGATCGTAAATTATTTAATTTTGTTTAATTGCATTATATTCATTTTCAGGCCTCATTATCAGTCTCCAACTGGCACCGTTTGATGAATTTCTTCAATGAGATCATAAATAAGAACGCACCTCAATCAAAGTCTAAGACAGAACACAAATTCTCGGCCGAAAAAATCTACGAAATGTTCAATTCTAAAAATAACAGACCCGAATCTGCAGAAGCCTCCTTGTTCGTTGATTTCTTGAATCAGCAGAGATTCTTCGCACTGGGTGAAAATGACTTGAAACAACTCCCGCAACAACTTGCAGATATGCTGACGAGATTCAACGGAGGTTATGAAAAGCATTCCACTAAAGTTGTAAACAAAAACAAACTAGCCATAATGTTCCCAGTAGCGTCTGGTATGCCATTCGTATACAAGTACAAAGAACCCGTAGCTATTCACTTTCAAATCAAAAACGGCCAAGTTAACTCCTTCGACAACAGCGGCCTTAACACAAACATGGACACTGAACTGATTTTCACATACGCTGAAAACCACGACGGTAGCGTAGGTTTCTTAGACACTATATCGAACCAATACGCCAGTGTCGGTGTAGTTGGAAAGGTGCAATTCCACGTACCTCTAAAAGTCCACGTTGAAATGAAATCTGGCGACACCAAAATTAGGTTTTCACCCATCCAACCGGAACAGGATGTCAACATCTTTCACTACAGTATTTGGCCCTACAGTGCTAACCAAAAGAAGGACACACTTGTCACCATTTCCCAAGATCCATCAACTAAACTGATCAACCGTGACAGTAAGACTATTTCAGTCGATTACAAGTTTGGACAGATGTTTGGAACTCAGTATCAGTTCAATGGATACTCTTATTCGAACGATTACAAAAATGTGGTTGACATGTTCTTGTCTCGTAGTCCACTTTCTCATATTGTGTCGCCATTTGGACAAAAAGATATCGGCCAGACTCACTTCAACCTGAGGTACCTGGGTAAACAGTCAAAGGGTAGGGGTGTGACAATTGCAGCAAACTATGGTAAGTACATTGTAATATATAAATAGTATTGTTTTATTAAATTACTTAATAATAATTACTACAGGAAAGGGTTTACTATCTTAACAAAAAACATATTTTGATTTCAGACACACTGTACAACCAAAAACAAGAAGGTAAAATGCCGGTAGAAGCTACAGATATGACTGACGTTTCGCCAAGCAGTCCCGCTCGACGTGAAGCTCTGGCTAAACGCGTAGCTTCTGGAATAAAAACAGCTAGAGCTCAGGTTCTTGATTTGAGCGCTAGCTTTGAAGGGCCACAAAAATTGGAATACGTCTTTACATTTGCAATTGGTAGAAGTGACATTGATCCAAAAATACAATTTGCATTATTTGGCGCCCGAAACTCTGAACAACATGGTAACACGCAAATCAACTCCGTTGGAAGACTGATCCGGCCAAAGAGTGTTTCAACTTTGAATTATGCCGAAGCATTGAAGCAAGAGCTAAAGATGCCGTTTGAAGCGGATATTCGTTATGGCCAGAAAGAATTTATGAAAATCCAAGGTTCAGCTGAAAGATCACAGAAATACGCCGAAGAGCTCCAAAGACATCCTCTGTCCCAGCAATGTCTCGAGGAGATGAGCAACAATAACTTCTTCCAAAGCGCCTGCCATAAAGTACTTATTTTGGCTCATGCCCCTGATTCAGTTAAATTGTCAGTCACGTATAATCCGAATCCTTCAATCCGAAGCACAGCCTATCAACTATACAGAATCTTGAGAGCATCTACCTTATGGCAAACCGAAGATAATCCGCAGAAAGTTTCACCAGATGGAAAAATGGACGTGATGTTTGACGTGTCCTTTTTGTCACAAACCATGACCGTGGGTTCTAACTCCAAATTTGGAGAGCTTCGTATTAAAAATATCCCAATTCCCAGAGTGACGCCTGGAGTTCTATCTACCTACAGGCCAATCCAACCATACGAAAGAGTTCTCAACTATTACACTCAACATCAATTCCAGCGTAAGTTTAATAGTGTGCTTATTTTTGTAGTCCCGTTTAGTACCAAGAAACAATGGTAGTAACAGACTTTATTAAATAACGAATAATTAAAGTACAGTTGAAAACTAAACATATACAAAAATATTGGCAAATACGGTCTTATTGCCTTCACATACTTAAAAAAAAATAAAGTATTTAAGGTTCATAATTGAAAATACACATCGTAACAAACAATATTTGTTGCAAATGTGCCCAAAATTAATTGTTAATTCATTTCTATTAGCTTACTGCACTGTTGATGGAGCAAGAGTGAGAACCTTCAGCGATCGCAAATACGACTACAACCTCTCACGTAACTGGCATGTGGTTATGGCTAACAAGGCAGAATATGGGGACGATTACGCTGTTCTTGCAAGACGACCCAGCGAAAAGACACAGGAAGCCTACATCTCATACAGGTAATTGTTAATTCAAAATTTTAAGCACGCTTCAATAATTTTGCTGATCTATTTATGAAACGTCTGAGAATAGTTATAGCAAACAAAATCTTCACCTTCGGTCAGAGGTTTCAATGCATTTCCTATTTTCAGATCTCAGAATGGCAAACATTTGGAAATCGAAGTCGGGTCAGGTGCGGACAGTTCCAACTACAACGTCAAGGTCTTCACCAACGCAAAGAAGATTTCCGAAGGCGAGCTCACAACCTACTGGGATGACAGCGAAGAATCACCCATTCTCGAATACTTCGTTCAACCTGACAATGTACTCATGCTTAAGATAAAGGAAGATAATCTCAGAATAATGTTCGATGGGCAAAGACTCGTTGTCCTCTCAAGAGAAGGACGAGGCAACAATAGAGGTATCTGTGGAACCATGAGCGGTGATAGACGCGACGATTACTTAACACCATTCGGCCTGGTCGACGCACCGGAACAGTTCGCAGCATCTTACGCTCTGAACGACGAAAACGGTGACCTCAAGACCCAGCAATATCAGACCCAAGCCAAACAGATGGCCTACCAACCACGCAACCAGTATACAGCAATCTTACGATCAGATGAAAACTGGCAGAGCTCCATGCAGTCAGATGGCAGCACGTTCGACGACAGTGGCGTATATTCTTCTCGGAGCTACTCAAAGAAGAAGGAGCCGTGCAAAATGCAGAAGCAAGTTCAATACTACGAGAACTATGGAGAAATTTGTATCACAACCAAGCCTTTGCCCGCCTGTCAGTCGTATTGCAATGTTGAAGGGTACAAGATGCAAGCGGCACAAGTAGTGTGTCGCCCAAAGTTGGATCAACAGTTTATCACGTACAGAAACCAAATTCGTCAGGGTCTAAACCCGAAAGTTTCTGGTGCCCCCGAGTCCAGACAATATCGTGTACCTGCAAGTTGCAAGGCTTAAATGCCTGCGGAGTGAATTACAATGATAATACTTAACGAAACTGCTTGAAACGGACCATGATATATGTACTCCTAGATATTTTATATCGTATCGTTAAAACTTTTGGAAATATTCTATTTATATATTGAATTTTTTATACAATTTGTGTAAATATGTATTGTTTATGTATTTATCTATTTTTTTATATCTCTATAGTATTATTATAATAGTAGAAATAAATTGCAAAAGTGTAAAAAAGAAAAAAAAATGTAGTTATAGATAATCCTTAAAAGAAAGGTATACCTTATGGTAAAATGTTATTTATTAAAGCAAAAGGACAGAATAAATGCAATGAAAAATAATAACAATCGTATGATTACTCTTCTTAATTCAGGTAATCTAAATATGTAGATTATCGATTTTAAACACAACAAAAAAGTCAACTGCTTCATAAGGCAATATTATAAGTTATGGTTTTAGGTACATCCAGAAAATATAGGACAAGTTATCATGACCACAACATACTAAATGTCCAATGAGAAATAATTTTTGCCTGATTGAATTTATGCGGCAAACTATTGGCCTTAAACAGTTTTATTATTTCTACGAGGTATTAAATTCTTTTTTATACTATTTTAGGGCTCACTATATCGACAAAAGTAAAATCTGTTAAAATTGATAATATTCTTTATTTATGCAAGTGTTCAGGTCGCATATTTTTTGTGACTGGCCGACATGGTAAACAAAACAATAGATCGCAGATCTTAATATCAAATACTTCGTTAACTTAATTATATTCATTTTGTTCATGGTTTTATAACACTTATATAAATTGCAATCTTCAAAAAAAGATTACGCGTAGAAGTTTTTATGAAAGCATAACTTGAATGTTAAAATCTATTATCTGAGTTTAATATTTATATACTAAAACACAATGTACAAGTGATAAATAATTATAACAGTGTTCTCAATACGCATATAAAATAGTGAGTCTACTTCAATTACAGTTTGACAAATGTCGATATGATAATAGTAAATAATTAATAATTTTTTGTATAAAAGATATCAAGTATAATGATTCAAGTAGAGTTTAACATACCGCCATTCTAAATATAACGTCGTAACAATGTCATTCTTGTAATGACAAATATGGTCTGTTTCCTTTGATTCGCAATAAATATTTATAATCTATACCAATAGTGATGTACATAAAAGTGTCAAGGATATTTTATCGGCAGTAGATTAAAGTTCGATTTGAAGAAGTTCAATACCAATTATTGCATTAAAAAAATAGCTTCCTAAAAATTGTCTTAATAATCTTTGTTGAAAGAAGAAATAATATAATTTCAATCACCAATTTAGGCCTATGATAGTATAATACAACGATAAAATCTATATTATTAAATTATGTCTTTTATATCCTAGTTAGTTTTGCTTTTAATTTCTGAGTTGTAATCGATTAAAAATATCGAACTACGAATAATCGTAATCGACATTTAATCGTACTCGCGTATCGTCATCAGCTGTTTCAGTGTTTGGCTTGTCATTGGTCGTAGATTGTAAGCAGTTTATCAGTTTCAGAATAATTTAGACTTTCAGTGCATGTAATATAAAATAGAAACTGTGCTAAACATATAATTATTGGTGTATAACTTAAAACATTTATGCGTTATTACATTTATTTTATTTATTAAGAATACCTAATACCGGCTCAAAGTGTTCCTTGTTAGTGAATCTTGGCGTTCGTAATTCAAATTGAATCTGATTAAGCGAATTATGATGTGGTAAGTACTAACTTTTAAATAAATTAAAATTTACTTAAAAGTTTTTTTATTACCTTTAATATTACCAACCAATTTACCAATTTGAATTATCTTTGAAATGTTTAAAATGATATTTTCATGAATTGTTTTATAATTATTGAATACATATTTAAGAATATTTCAGTAAACTTCACAATTATTTAAAGATGTTTTATGACAAAAAAAATAATGATGCAGATATGTTATTACTATCGAAGAGATCATCTTTAATTTGTAATTTATTACACCTGTAAAAGTTTCAGCGGAGTATCTAAATGTAAAAAACAATATTTATAAAGCAACTACATTATTTTTTACATACTACAACACTTAATATATCTAAACTAAATTGCCATTTAAATAAAACAGTTTTTACGGTTTAAAATCTTTTATCTTTATATGTACTACTCGCAATCACACAAAATTCTCAATAGTTTATCAAACACATTAACAAATGTAGTAATTCACATTATTGATATATTTAAAGTCATTGTTATACCCTATTTTAATAGCAATGCAAATGTGAAAATAAAAAAAATTATTGAACCATTTAAAGTGTATATATGGATTATTGGTTAAGAAACTTAACTTATATATTTAAGCACACATGTACCTTGTTTGTCGCTAATAAGACTCGATATCTTACTTTGAAAAATATTCATTTAAAAATTGCCATTTAAATAGTAATAAAATCTTTTCTGGTGTAGGTATTAATAGTTTATTTTATGACTTAAATAAATGAGTGATTGTTGACTGAAATTTGTCTTATAGGAAAGAAATAAGGAAATTCATTCAAATAATACGTTATTATCCTTATGTTAGCTTCCTTTAACGGCAATTAATGTTATTTTAATAAATTAATTAGCATAGACTCTATATAAATCAATTGTTTAAATAAGAAATATCTATTGCAAATATGATTGAGATGCATTACTATTATTTTCTTATGTAAATTGTAACTTTGTTATTTATGTTTTTTTAAGGTATTTTCATACTTTACACTTTTTTATCTTCTTCTTACACAGGTGAAGGGAGATATAAAAAAATAATAAGTAATGAAAAAAAAAGTTTGTAAAGAAAAATGTAATAGCTAGCACATAATATTAATTTTATTATTATATCAATAAAACAGTTAATAATTAACTAGCTATGCCCGCAATGTCGTTTGCGTGGAATGGTGACTTTCGGTAGAATTTTTAGTTATTTAGGCTGGTTTACTTATTTATTTTATAAATTTAATTAGACACATGTGTAAATACAGTGTCACAGTGTTTCAGAGTTATTTTCGCGTTTATAATATGTATTAGTAAGTTGTATAAAAATTAATTACAATACATCCACACTGCGTTTCATCTCTAATTCAAACCCTTACTACCTTTGATTTGTACTTCCACCTCACATCACTCCTACTCTAACCCCAACTCTTACTCTACACTTATTCCCAGTCTCACTTCCATCCCCAAAAACCCAAAGAAGAAAGTTTTATTGTTCTAGCTTCAGAAATCACGAATTTCCATACCAACTTTCATTCCCCTTTTCAACCCCTAACAACCCTTTTTTGGCATTAAAAAGTACATGTCCTTTCTCGGGCTCTAGAATATATGTGTACCAAATTTCATTTAAATTGGTTCAGTATCTTCGGCGTTAAAGCCGGACAGACAGACAGAGTTACTTTCGCATTTATAGTATTAAGTATTATGTAATTAAGCAAAGTTATAGTAAATACTTTGTAGATAGATTAGAGCTTTGGTAGATTTTAATGACAATTTATTATGGCTGATATACAATATCAGCGTTGAGGCCAAACCTTTAACTATATTCTCCATTTTTGATAATGATAAATAGAATTTCTACAAGATTTAAGTATGTAGTTCTACAATATTTGGTTTAGTAGAATTTTATTTATACAAGGGTGTGTTGTTAGGGGAGTTAATTAGACCTTTTTTTAACAAAGTAATCGAAGAAAATTTAATTTTTTATGTAGATGTATGTTCACTTATAACCCAACTTAAATCATATCCAAGAATCTTTCGAATTTAATCAATATTACAAGAAATATTGCGTTCTCCAAATCTATTTTTTATTATAGAGGATACAAGCATGGCACTTGTTGGTTCGAGTAATCCCCCAGCCAAACATCTAAACAAGAGGTCGCTGTCGACTTATTTTTGTTTGGATATTTAAAAATCCACAAACTGAACCCGGATTAAATTTCGATATTCGATATCCAGAGTTCCAGACTAAGTCCAAACGTTTAGAATAATCCAATATTCGTTGAACTCGGTGGGGATCGAATCCATGATCGTTGATTATTAGCTATACAATGCAATCTGTCGGGACACACTCGTGTTGTACAGCCACACCTCCCTTTCACCTAACAACGTGATGTTGCAAGTGTATTTCATAGTTGCGTCATGCTTGCGTCAGCGTCGGGCCTCTGCGTCGCGGGTCGCTCATTGGCTGCACGCGACCTTCGTCACGTATGCAGTTTCCCGTTTGATGGTTAAGGCTGTGGTTTCTACCACAGATGTAATTTAATACCATAGCTACTGTATTGCAGTTTTCACTTATAAAGCTGTTTATCGGGTCTGTAGTTTACAATTACAAGTTTAACAAATATATTTCGCGTAAACCGGTAAAGTGTTTTATTTGAATTTGTTGGTACTATTCGTAAAGTACAGACAGTATACAATTACAATTGTTGCACACGATGATGTCACATAGTTCACAATTAAATATGTAATATAATTCCCATTTTAAACCGTTCAGTTTTTAATTTCATACCATAGCTACTGCAATGTAGTTATTACTTATAAAACCCTTTATCAGGACTGTAGTACACAATTACAGTTACAAGTTGTCCATGATGATGATGAGGCCATAAATTTAACGGATATAATGTCACGTAGTTCATAATGAAATAATATAATTCGCGTTTAAAACTAATCATTGTCTAATTTATAAATATTTACTATTGTTTTAAAACATTTAAATTGTATATTCTATAGTCTGTGTCTTTTTAATAAATGATCTTCAGTTGCTAAAAGGCTGAAGTTAAATAGTTTTTAAAATAACAATTTTATATTTTTTAAGGACATATATTATATTATATGTCCTTAAAAAAATGGAATTTCGCTTTACCCAACATAGTATCTTACTTAGTTACTCCGCTGTCGCAGCGACCCAAAGTGAGTCTTGGCCTCCGAAAAGAGCGCCATT